GAAATACCTCACACATTAGAGTAAAAATGTTCATACATCACCGATGCATACGTCATCATCGTTTAAGTTGAGGTATAAGTTTTTACACTTATAACTATGATCACAGAAAATCAGATTTTTTTTCAAAGGATTCACGTTATTTCTAATTTGTTGCCTGACGAAATTAGATCGCATAAATGACTAACATATTCTCGATAGTTGGATTAATGTGCTGCATTTATAGAACTGTTTTGATTATACTATGTGGTTACACAGACTAGTAAAATTATGAAACTAACCGCTAATAAATACTACAAAAACAGCTGATACTGTTGAAATCCTAAACTATCTCGGAAAAATATGAGGCACTGCTAAATCGAGTTCTTTGGTCGTTAAGATAATATTATTTGGTATATCTACTTATTTACTTATCGAATAAACCTATGTACAAGTTGCATATGATAATTATATAATATGTAATATGCTTTGCTAGATCGTAAACCGGCGAACAAACATATTTTCTACCGGCAACCGTATATTAAACGTTAAAATAATAATGAAATTTGCACCGCGTTGTCATCGTCCACATGGTCTACAACAACACCGGTTTTTTCGGGACGGCGGTTGGTGCCGAGAAACCGTACAAGAAGCGTTATGAAATCAAGTCATCCGTTACATAAAACACACTCGTATGTGTGAGGCGTAAGCGATTTAATACGGTAACAATAATAGCAATATTATCGACTATCGTCAATGATGTTATAATCTAACTACCAGTGCGCGAAGTGTTGAAGCGTATGGGAAACGCCTGTACTCAGCTTACAACCACAGACTATTGTGTATTATGTACTTTGGTCGAAACGGTTCTCTGGTCGTGGCACGCGTTTAGTTTCGATTATAGAACGTGCAATTGTGTTACAGATCGAAAATCGCGCGCTCTCGGAACGTCTGGGGGAATTATTTAGCAATTCGCCGACCATCGAGGCCTCTTGTTTGTCAGCGAGGGGTTGTTTTCCGCTCCAGCCGGAGGAATTTTCCGATCGGGGTCGGTCGGGCGATGAAACGTTCCCTATTACGACTGCGGCAAGGTATTTAAAGGACGTGCAGCACCCGTCGTCCTGGCCGGCCGACCCCAAAAAAGGAAAACAAAACAAAACCACGAGAAATCTGCCCTGTGCCTCGTCCCTCTGCGATCGTCGATACCGACATCATCCCGGTTGCCGTGACGACGGCGGCACTACCACGGTGCACCGCCGCGGAAGCGCGTAACCGTCACGTGGCGAGCACGAGGGCGGCCGCGGTCCGGGTCGAAGCGGCCGCCGATCGATTGCGCACACGCGTGCGGCACCCCGGAAAAAAAAAAAAACAAAACCCGACCGCCCGGGTTTTGCCGGCGCGCACCTGCCCCGCGAGACTCCGTTGACGAGGCTTGCGATACAGACATGGGGTGCTTACGAGTGTACAGCGGTCGGTGGGGCGAAGTCGAAGGGAATGATAAACAAATCCTCCCCGACAACGATGTGTAGTACTATGGACTAACACTACGAGATAACATTGAGTCGTTGATATTGTTGTTGTTATTAAAATTATTAATTTATTGTACGAAATCAAAGTGTGTACCCACCTCGTTTGCCAAAGTCGCCGCCGCAGCCGCCGCCACCGCCGTGGTCGATTCAATCATTGTCCAGTGTCATAATAAAATGTAAAAATTATTTACGTCGTCTGGTGGGTCGTTGTCGGTCGATTATTCGAATAAAGTCGTCAAATGTTCGTGCGCACGTGTATTAATGCGCGGATGTTCTTCTCGTCGACAGAACGTTTTATCGCGGTATGGACGTTGTCATGGCGTGAACTGTGGTCGCGCGATTTTTTCCTCGGGGCTTCCCCGGAGATGTAACCGCAGTCAATTATCAGGTATCCGCACCACCTCCTATTAACGTACTACTGTTGTTACAACTACAACCTGTGGCCAATACGAGCGCGAGCCTCGGCAACGGAGATACACGTCCGTACGGCAGGGCGAGCGCGGTACATCTGCCGGCAAGCTTTCACCCGGCGGCGCGTAAGCTTGCGCCGGAGCGCTGCCTGGCGGTCAGTTTTTGCTGTCCGTCAGCGGCCGACCGGCTGACGGCGAGGTCAAGTTCAAGCTCGCGCTCCTCATCGGCGCTGAGCATTATGTTTTCGTACCACGCGTTGTCGCGCCACCGCCAACCTACTCCCCCATCCAAGCGTCCGCTCATCGACGCCGACACAATATACGTTAATGTGGGTGTATACGTGTCTCGATTGCGAAACGCAGTTGGGTCAAAACGTTTTTCGGCGGCGATCTTCATTTCCCGAACGTCATCGCGTACCCGTCCATCGATAGAACGTGCGCTGCGGTCCGAAACAACAATACGATCCGTTTTCAGTGGTCTTGTTTTCAACAGTACGCTCGTGTGTACGAAATAATACCGTTCCAATGTGTGCAATGGTCCCTTATGAATATAACAACCAACTAATCGGCGAAAGAAAATCGACTACTGTCATTGTTGCATGCCGTACATTTTTTATACTAATTACGTTACAACAAATTATTATTTTTTTTCCCATTTTACTATTTACAAAAAAAAAAAAAAAAAGATTTGTATTAATGTCGATTCGTGTTCGCATTTAATTATGTATTTGTATTATTTGAAATTATAAAATATATTATTACGATGTTAAAGTATAAAATGTGTGTTATTTAAAATATTTTCAATATGATTAAAAAAGAATGTCAAATACCAATCCTTCAAAATATGGTGATTAGTAATAGGCGAGAACGCTAAAATTTTATTCAAAAAACAGGTAGTCGTTGTGAAAACAATACTTTTCCATATTCTAAAAGAATCTAATAAGTAAATTACATTTTTAATTTTAAATTTGTTTTTTTGTTAATGATTTATTATTGTGAGTATTCTGAGAAAGGTACGTCACTATCTTAGATTATCATATTAGTACGGGTTAGGTTTTGGCAAAAGCACCTAAAAATATAATTTTCAATGGAAGTTTTTAGCATACATATTTTCGGATCCTCATGTACTACTCGTATGTTCAGGTTAAACACATATTTTCATGTAACAATTTTCAATTAAGACCGAGGTCATGATGAACAAATTCTTGAATATAACTCAAAAAAAATGTCAAGACTATATAAAAAATATCCAATTTAACTTAAGCTATCAATAATAGTTCAATGTCTTATGAGTCTAGTACTTACACTCTCATCACCCAAATTCTAATGAGACACCTGTGTTATTGTCCCTATAACTTCACCCTAGCCACTGAAACTGTCCTATCTATATTTATAGTATAATAGTACGTTTACAATGGTCTAGGTGTGTTTATTTTAGATAAGATAATCTATTCTGGATTAAGCACGTACGTTTTTTTTTTACAAACGACATAAGTTTGGTTACAAAACATTGCTGTAGGACTATAATATTGTGTCCAAATATAAATACTATTTGTAAAATTACTTTTATTACATTTGAGTGTGCTTTTTAAAACTAATAATTCAATGGAAAAAAATAAGTTTATTGTACTAATAGTTTTATACGTAAATTATGATAGTATTTATGTCAACATTGTTAACTGTTAAAATAAAACGCAGCAAATTTATGTCAAAAGCAAATATAATACATGATATGTAAATGGATTTATTGTTTATATTAATATCTTTAATTTCAAGAACAATATCAAAACCATATTTTTAAAGTATTAATTACGTTTTGACACTTATTTCGACAATCCTCGTGTCATTCTTCTGCTGTGTACTAGTTTGTAGATATACAACAAATTTAATTCAAAATAACACTCCAAAATATACTCTATTTTTTAATGTTCAAATGTCTATAATTTTAAAGTGTTTCAATGTGTTATAGGTGATATCACCATTCAAAGTAAACTTCGAAACTAATTATTCGTACGGATAACAGTGTATATGTATACGAGTATTATATGCACAGTACAATAAATAAATAAAACGAGTCTTTAATATTATAAAATATTTTATATGCGTTTCTTACCCCTCTCCCCCGTCTTACTAAAAAATAAAAATAATAGGAGAAATCATGTGTATAGGCCATACTTGGAATACTAACGATTTGGTTGATATGGAGAAGACGTAAGAATAAGACTATATGCCACATATTTCAATAATTACTTACTATAAATAACACACACGTCAAATTCAACTTAGAGATAATTTGTTCTATTTCAGCCGAGCTGTCTATTTTCATTACCATTATTATTTGTTTCGTTGCATTTTTAATTCATATTACAGTTGTATACTTGAATATTACGCATAGGTGGATATTTGGTCATATCTGTATACTTAATTTTTACATATCAATCAACTACTTACCTTTTTCTTAACTCCGTTAATCACCGAATATATATATATAAGTAATAGTGTAATATAAATAAATAAATAAATAATTAATTTTATTGTATATTTAATTTTAATATTATAAATCTATTTTTCTGCAAATAAATCTATAATTTTGTCTGTATCGATAAATGTTGATATATTGTTTTCTATATATCAAATAGTGGTATTTGTAGATCTCACTTGAATAATTTTGGTTTTAAGCCATGTATTAGAATGTTTTGTCATATTATAGAAAAAAATCGTGATTTTATTAACTTTATGTACCTGACGATGAATTATTAATTCAAAACCGGTCGTACTTTACAAATATAATAAATCCAGGCTAAGTATTTATTTATTTATATTTATAAAGTATTTGTTTACTTTTTGTATATTAATTATTGTATGGTCCATTTTGTGTTTAAATTAGTTAATAGTAACTTTACACTATAGAAAATTGATGAAAAAAACGTACATTTTTGATAAACTATGGTTTATCAATAATAGAAAACGAATGAAAAACTAACACATTTTGAAGGAACTTGAAACTTTTGGAGAGGAGCTTTAAAATTGTCTAGTAGGACTTCAATCTACAAAGTCCCCCTCTTATATTCACCTATGGTATTACCTTCGTTTAAATGCTTGATTCTGTATGTAGAATGCATATGTAAATGCAATTTGCCTATCAAAAGTATTAGCTTTCCATATTCCATTCAATTTTAACTAAAATAACGAAAATTATATGAAATTATAAATTATTAACGTAACACGAAAGAAATAAATATTATGTGATAACTGAATACTTAAAACAGTATAGTAGAAACCACGGCTAGGTTGAAATTTTTATTTATTATATTAAGTTTTTTCTGTAGATTAGATTAATTCTATAGATTATTCATAACATCAGAACTGAATTAACTTTATTTTAATCGGCATTAAATTTAACAGGTGTACATTGGTTAATTTCAGTGCTCGATTTGGCAAAATTTAAGAAGGGGGACTCTATTTACTTTAAAAAAAAAGAACGTCCCCAAAACTGGCTGAGCGTTATGATTATAGCGTAATAATAGTAGGGGGACGCTAAAATTTCTGAAAATTAGTTGGGGTACTCCGTCCCCATAGGTCACCTCACAAGTCGAGCACTGGTTAATTTTCATTTAATTATTGTATGTAGTAATTTATGAATGTTTAAGATGATAAAATAATATCGGTTTTTAAATGTACCTATAAAGAATGTTGTTTATCAATTTCAAATACAGATTATGAATATATTGTTTTACTATGAAACATAATACGATTTAATTAATTATTGAATTATAAACTTTTTTTCGAAATTATAGACAGATATAATTTATAGTATTATGTGTGTCTATTTTAATGATAATATATTATATAGGTATAGTATATCTATAGGTTTTCAATTTAAACATAATTGAATCATTAATAATGAATGCTACTTTAAAACAGTATTTATAATTGGACTGTTACAAATTGCTTGAACTATGTTCATTAATTACTAACGAAGTCAATAATTTGTAAAATATGTCATATGATGTTTAAAATTGATTACTTTCTTTTTGCATACAATTGTGATTAGGTGGTTTTATACTCTAGCGAGCATACGAAGCATTGTCATACATTTTAATTATTTGTTAGTATATTAAAATACATATATTGAAGTAAAAATGTAATTGTAAGTTAAAAATATTTTTATTTATTTGTAAAATATTTTACTATTAGTTCTTATACATCTTTTTTATTTTTATTTATGTATACACTAATAAAGAATTCAAAAATTGTAATTAAAGAAAGTCTTATGAATTATTATGAAGTTATATCATAACTTACATGACATATAATGTAGATTATTAGGTTAGCTATCTATTAATTATTCTATTCATAAAATAGGTACGACTATACGACTATAGGACACATTAATTTTTTTAAAATATATTTAAAAAACTCCATTAAGATATTTTTTTTAGCGTTTGCATTTAATATGAGAATTATAAATTCTTAAATTAATGTATAGCCTAAAATAATTATAAACCATAATTTTTATTTGTCTTAGGATACTGTCAATAGTTGTAGTTGCATAAATTGCCCAATAAAAATAAATAAAAAAGTACAAGATATAGTGGCTGTTTGAGAGACAGGAACGAGTAGCTGTTAAAGCCGAAATTAGTGAAATTTTCTTATATATTTGAAATTATGTATCATTGATTTTGAAAAACAAAAAGTGAAGGAATCAGAAACTATATATATAAAAACAGTTTGCAATACTGTACAAGTACTTTGTAATTCCGTAATCAGATTGGTTCTAGTAGAACCGTTCTACAGATTTTTACAAAACAAAAAATAAATATAAGCAAATACTATTGAAATTTTTTAAATAATTTAATATTAATATAATACAATATAATATAATTTAAAATTATTATTATAAAATTTATATAATATTAATGTTGTATTTTTAAAAACTAACATATAGGTTAATAGTTACTTTAACTAATAACTATTCAACATTGTAATATAATTATTGTATTATAACTTAATATGACATAATTTACCTTCACTGGTGTAACCAATAATAATGATAATAATAAAAACTATTTAAATAGGTATATTTACACTATTTTGTACTTATTGTAATTTAATATAATAATTTCGAATGTTAAATTTTTCTTAGTATTACTTGTCATAATATTATTTTTATCATCATTATATTTTACTCTGATATACTAATGTAACTATGTGGTTTAATTAGTTAGTGTATTGGCTAATATACTGTGTATAAAATACAATAAAAAAAACTAATATTACGTCACAATTATTAATTTTGAAATTAATTAAATTTTTTAAACAATTTTTGATTTAAGTACAACTCTCAGAAATATCGTTTAAGTATAATTCAGTATTATATATATCGATCAAATGAGACGTTAACAATTACAATTACAACTATTAATAACTTTAGTGAAATTGTAAAAACGCTTTTTTCCCATTGAGTATACTAAATAAATATCCTTTGCTGAAGATAATGTTTTATTGATTTCATAGAGTTATAATATTTCTTGTTACATCTGTAACTTGTAAATGAGACGAAGGGAAGTTATATGTACACACATTTTAAATCTATGAATTTCTTCCAACGCAAATTTCATTATGTTTGGTTTTTGCAAAAATGTATTTCCATTTTAAAACGGTGTAATATTAAAATTGTAGTTAAATGTTTTTAAAATATTTAATTACTTATATTTATTGCTTTAATTAATTATTTAAATATATCTAGAATAGAAAAATGCAATAGATTTTATCAAAATTAAATAAAACAGCCACTTTATACAATAAAACCATACAATTTATCAAACGATAAACTGTACGATTTTTAATTAAATATTTTATTTAAGTTAAAATTAATTAATATTTTTATCATAATAACCTACATTAGATTATTTTGATGTACAATATTAAGTGAAAAGTTAATAATGATATCAATGAATTGCTAAAACTTGGTTTATTTATTATTTAAAATTCATATTATCTACGCCCAATAAGTTTTTATAAGAAAATATATAATTATTCATTTCTATGAGTCATCCAACTATTAATAAGCTTGTACAATGCACATGTTTCGCAGATTAGAATCCTTGGTTATTGATCAGTTTTGTAGTTGTTTATTCAGGGGCGAAGACCTATCCATCAAGCTGTCGGTCAGTTAATCATAATTTGCAAATGGCGTCATATCTTTTTGAAAATATTTATTTTTTTATAGATAATATAATAACGTGATAAAATAAAAAATAAATCGTTTACCTAAGAGGCGGGCCCAAGATCAAAATGTAGGACAAGTCTAATTATAATTATTTTAATTCATATGGGTACATATTATTTCGTAAACTTTTCATAACATTTTTAAATTGATTTTCAAAATATGATCATATAATATACACAATTTCTCCTGTTTGACTTGTTAATAATATTTAAAGATATTAAAAAGTAAATAATAATGATGTAAAAAATATTAATAATAACTATTTGAAAATAGGGTAGGCCCAGGCTTACTAGGTCTACCTTTTTAGTACGCATAGTAAAACTAAACTAGTACTAACTTAAAATTAAATATTTTAATTTCAAAACTATAATAGCATTTTAAAATTAGTATTTTGTAGGAATAAATAATAATATATGTAATGGTAGCATATACTCTAATTACATTTAAATTGTATATGATATGCATACTAATCTATACAATATTATGTTATAACGTCCTTACATAATAAATTATCAATTTAATAATTAATTTTATAAGACGAATTTGTACTAAAACATTTATGCGGAGTATAGAATAGTATTTTTGGTGATTTCTGTATTTTTTTTTTTTTTTTTGATCCTTCTGAAAATTTATCATTTTGCATAAATAAGATTACCTTAAGTATTTTATTAATTATGTAGTTTGTTTAACTTTAAAATTTTATTTTTAAATCACCTGTAGGTACTTTCATATATTATAAAATATGTTTGTTTTACATGTACATAACAGATATAATTTTAAAATTATACATTATGTTCATTTGTAAAATATGAAGTATTGATCTAAAAGTTAATCTAATACTTAAATTTTTTCCAGAATTCCGAGTTTTTTTTTCATGTTCAAGTCTGCCATAAGATGATACTTGATAATGTAGTTCTAGACATTTCTTAGTTTAAATTAATCCTGAAAATGTTATGTATGACAGTATGCAGACTTGGCTTCCTAAAATAATTTTTGTAGGTTGCCATAATATGGCAACATATTATGTTGTCAGTGTAATTATTTTAGTTTGTGTTATTTTTTATTTGATAACTTGAAAGTATTAATTTACTTAAGTTTTTGAATTATTTGTGATATCGGTTCATTAGCTATTTTGTTTCTTGTTAATCCAATGTATATGTATTAGAGCTCTGGCATTAATTAAATTAATTGTGCGGTACTTTTAGGATTAGACTTATTCTACTATTGTGAATTTGTTTAATAAACCAATAAATGAGCATCTTACTAGGTTAGTAAAAATATTTTTATCGTCTTTTTTGTTAATTAATTTTATTATCATTAAAATTTGTTTGTAATTATTTTTGTTTAAACTCAGATTGACTATAGGTGGTCGGCCATAAAAAAGAAGAACAATGTTATAATTAAAAAAGTATTTATTTATTTGGGTATACTTTCCTTAATACTAAAACAACAGGGAGTATAATAATTACAATATAATAATAACTATAGGGTATAAATTTAATATTTAAAATGTATATTATATTATTTCATTATTCTATGAATAAACTATTATTAATTTGTTCACAATTTTCAGTTACCACCATATTTGTTTTATAAATCAAAAAGAGTTAGACAAAAACAATATTTTTAATTAACAGTAAGGATTTGGAAAATAAAAGGGAGGGAGAGTTAACTAAAATTAAAAAGAATAAACAATTTATTTTTATCACAATCACATTTAAAAAAAAAAAAAACACAATTGTGAAAAGCAGGGAAAATTGTTTGTTTTGACTCAGGGAACGTCGATACGAACAATTTTCACTTTATTTCCAATATGTTTGCGTTAATAAGACAACAAATTATAATAATTATAAGTAAAGTATATTATTTGAACAGCGTTCTCGCGTAATACCAAACTCGGAAGAAGTATTCGCTCCTTTTCAACAATGCAGCGTTCGAATAAGACGATATGTCCGCGTCCATGTTGTGCTCTCTCAGCCACGATGTAGTGGTCTCTGAAGTTTGAGTTAGAGACGGTTTGGACTCTATGACGGATTCTTCGACATCCGATTCGTAATAATCTATATCGAATACCATACAAATATTATGTATAACTGTCTAACGTAAACTAACGAATCACGTGGACGATTATAGAATGAGTAGGTACGATTCAGTAGGACAATACAATAGTTACACTACAGGGTTGGCAAACATTTTTGTGTTCGATATCAAATTTGGTCATCGGAATTTTCAAAAAAATGTATATGTTATAAAAAAAAATAATGTGCAAAGTGTATTAGGTATATGAATTTATTTTAATTTTTTATCTACAATTTTTTTTTTGTTTATTTTATTTTACACTTTTTAAACAATAAAAACCCAATAGACGTTTAATATATTTCAAGGAAAACAATTTTGCACTATTATAGTTTTATATTCGAGAGATTTGGAATATGTGAGCCAAAAATTCATCAACCCTGTTCCGTAATTTATCAAAATACCGTGAAAACTGGATGCGTTACCTGTCGGTTTTTGTACGGTATACGGTTCTTCTGTTTCCAGTGGTTCGCTGATGCCGACTTCGTTTTTAGCAAATATCCTAATGTGATATCTATGATTCTCCTGCAAACAGAATTATCACAGCACACGTTAACGGTTGTATACATTTTTCTGTCAACCTGCATGTACAACGAAAGCTATCCCGGAAGATATATAATACGTACTATGCATATCCTCTCAACCTATAACTCACCAAGCCAGCTTTTATTTACGTTTTAAACGGAACAAAAGAAATCAATCAAAGACTAACATTATTCTTAACTTTTTAAACGTACGACCAATGTTGATCGGATTACCAGAAAAAAAAAAAAATAATAAACCGAGAATTTCAACACCATAATCGTGAGTGTTTCATTATCCACCTGCCGGTAGTACCTACCTGTAAATCTTTGATGTTGAACCTTTGTACGTCCGCACTGACCCGTCCGACTTCCATCCACATTGTCTTCTTTTCGTCCCGAATTGCTACGTTGTAACCTAGCAATGGCGCGCCACCGTCCATCTCTGGCACACCCCATTCCACGATCAGCGTATTGGCGTTTAAATTTCGAACTTCCAATGGGGCTGTAGGTGGTGAAGGCACAGCTATTGGAATACGATGGTTGGTTGTTATAATATTCAATTATACATAGTATCATTGCAGTGGTGTAACTGGGACAGAATATTGGAGAGTGAAAAAAATGTGTAATATATTAACTGTTTCATCTATACCTTATACGCACAATAAAACGATTTCATATTTAAATTCTTAATAATTAAAACTGAAAAAAAGGTAAGTTCACAAATTATAATACACCGGTGTACTAAGTCTATAATTATAATAAGTTGATCAATGTCAGATAAACAAATATTACATCATAATAGTTTTAACCATTCCAAAGTTAGTAAAATTATTTAATCGTAGTGATGATAAAAATAAATATTATTATAATATACAGATCTGAAGAGATTTGATCAATAAAAACCATTCGTTCCGAAAAGTCAAATAACGCAATTGATTGGTAAAATATGGAAGGATTCTAATTTATAAATATGTTATCTATCATCAGGCAAAGCACCTCTAGAATAGGACAGTTCACTCCTTTATTAGCATACCACTGTCAGTCGTAAAAATTCCGTAAACCACCCTCCCCACACTTACTGGCATGGGTCAGTAGACTGACGAGTTTCGTCTCAACCGGTTGACTGAGACCGACACAGTTTTCCGCATAAATTTTGAAGAAATACTCGGATTTTTCTTTCAAATTCTCCACGCAATATCGCGTTACCGACGGTTCCAATGTGGCCACTTTGAACCACTTGTTACTCGCGTTCAATTGTTTTTCAATCACATAACCTGCGTATAATACAAAAACGGACATCGTGTAATTGTTTTCGCAAGATGATATGTACATAAGTACACAGTTGTAAAAAAATACGTTTGTACAAAAAATGTATACAAACGCAAAGTAGCGAAGTAAGATAGAGTAGTAAGAATATATAATCACGTGACAAACAATAACAATTTTATAAATAATACAGGTTTGCTTGTAAGACAATACTTGTGTTACGTATATACTTATAATATTCTCGTAAATTAGAAAATGATAAACAATGATGCAATTGCTGTGTCGGTTGGTGTATTATTACATAAAGTTGCGTACGTATACGTATACGAAAGATACGTAAGATATGAAATCTATTGTTTTTATTTAAACTTTATTCATAAGATTTTTTTTTTTTTTCGAAATCTGTACCTGTGATCTCGGATCCTCCATTATTTTCCGGTGGATTCCAATGTAATGTCACGCTTTTGCTGGTAATATCACTCACAGTGAAATCTGTGGGCGGTGATGGCGAAGCTGAAACGTAACGATAAAATATTACATTTTGCACACATTTTTTATACATAGATAAACAAAGTGACGTTTAGTATAATTTTGTGTCTTGAACTATAAGCACACAGTGCATCAACATAACACAAGTGTGGTCACAATTTCAAGATACATTTTTATACTACTTAATACGACATACAAACGGCATATGATTGTTATTTATTTCAAACCCAATTTGTTGCTAGTTTAATGCGACCAATTATTATATGATTATGATCAATAGTAAATTGTTGAAACATGTTATTACTGTTATTAAATATATTTTTATGTAACTATTCATTATTACTAAGTATATTATGACTTTTAATTTGAATATAGTTTTGAACCGGAATTATTTAAAAATTATCACTCTAAACGTATTTTATCAAAACAATTTTTTAGCATAAACTACGTATATGTATGGAAGTATATGTAATATAATTGCCATCCTATTATAATGTAAAGTTATGTATTAACATAATGTTGAAGTGTCAGTAGTGAGTATATGTCGTCAAATTTAATCACTAACAACATTAAAATTAAATATATAAAAGGATTTACCCGAGTCCAAACAGCCCATTGATCCCTTTGAGTGGTATAACTATATTCACATATGTATTAGAATTTAAATATTCGTTTGAATTTATTTTTATTTTTTTATTTACCTTGAGTATATTGTGTACATTGACTTCAAGAGGTTTCTATAACCGGAGGACATATTAAGCTTGGCGATTGCAAATGTACATGTTTATTTAAATTAAAAAAAAAATTGTATGGATTCTTGTACTTCGCAATAGGTGCGTTACATTATCAAAAGACCAGATAACCAGATTGAAATTAATAAGCTAACATTACGGTAGTAGTTCAATATTTCGCTCACTCCTTTTGATAATATCATATCTCAAAAATCGGCCATGAACTTTTTAAATTTCAAATTTTTGTACATTATTCTTTAAACAGAGAAAAACTAAGTTTTATCTTTAATAGGATGTCTTACATCTTACATATTAAACATTTCAAACGATATATTGTATTTATTTTAGGCGATTTTATTCTACTTTCTAACTTTAAAGCCGATGTTCTTAAAATTAGAGCTTTTTGAAATATGACGTTGTTGAAAGGAGTGATCGATTTATATTCTACAATTCGATAGCAAGCAAATTAATTAGTTCAAGCATTTACTTACACTCAAGCCTGAGCATTAACGAATTGATAAGTTAAAAGTTAATTTAACTTATTAACTTATTATACTTATTAACTTATTAACTTATTATACTACTGATAAATTACCTTAACTTATTAACTTAACTCATTTCCTTACAAATTAACTTGAAATTAATGTATTATTTTTTCATTTATCCCAATTAAGTTAATTTTGATTTTCAAGATCAGAAAAATATTTTTATAAAATACCGCATTCGATAGCAAGTTCATGGAATTTGGAAAAATATAAAAATAAAAATTACAAAGAGTTTTTAGATGAGACTAATAATTTATTGTTAAATTATTTTAGTTTAGTTAGGTTAGGTTTAATTAAATTAGTTATTTAGTTAAATTATTAACTATTAATTGGGGTCCCACCAATCCCGGGAAAAGAACTCAACCGTCTTCAAACTATTGAGTAACAATAGCCATGCCATCCATGAATTACATTCCATTGTCATGAAAAGTGACCGTAAATCTATATTACAAAAATAGATACATATTATCATTGACTAAATAATTCTTAATAATTATTGTATTCTATTATTATTAGTATTATTCCATAATCTATGATATTATTAAATATTATTGAATAAGAGAAGAAATTTAATAGCTGATCAACATTTTGAGATGACTCTTTTATTGAGATTCAATAGGTATTTTGATTAACCTGTCCATTTTATTGTTTTATTTGTTTAGATTTTAATAAAATTAAATAATATTATATCAAGGCGTAGCGCACAAGTGTGATATGTGACATTTTTTTGAAAAATGAGTGTAGTCCATATTCAATTTAATCCTAAAATTGAGCACTTTATGCACAAACGAAATTATAACATTATTTAAGTAATTGTTGTTCTTTATTGAAATTAGAAGAAAAGTGTGATGTGTTAAAGTATAAGTTTTTACGTGTATAAAAAGTGTTAAGTACAATATTTTTTTTTTTCATTTTTTTTAAGAATACAAATGTGATAATTGTAGGTTTTTTAATACTCATTACTCATTACATGTTAAGGAAAATATAACAAAATTCATTACAGTTCATTACATTTTTGAATTGTTATAACAGCTCAAACTAAAAAAATCGTTCTCCTGAACAATTACGAAAATATCACTTATCACACTTGTGCATTAGGCTATCGATATATTTATTTTAACGTTTTGTATCAACTGTATACATTTATTGTTTGTATTATTATATAGTTATACTTTCAGGTGCAGTAATTATTTTTAGTTTTATACTGTTATTGAACATTAAAAAGAATACTTTTTTTAAATTATATTTATCATATGTGATTTGTATGAAAAATGAAAAAACAAACGATACATAAATTTGACATTTGAGTGCTTAAAAATAATCCCAATAAAGAAATGTATATTTTTTCAACTCTAATTAGAGCCTATTAAGATTTTTCTGCGTTTTCATTATCGTTAATGTATAATAAAATAAGATCTGTTGTTAATATATATATATATATATATATATCACATATACGAGCGCTTAATTTAAATATTTTTTCTTTTGTAATTAACCTAACTTATTAATTAAAGTTAAATTAAGTAACGATATTTTTTAACTTAATTGATGTAATTCTCATGTGTATTAACTTAATTGAATATGAACTCAATTAACTTAACTGTTTAAAAAATATGGTTAACTTGCCTACCCTCGATTACACTATATAAAAATAACTCACTCAATTCATGTACTGTACAATCATACACAAAAAGTAATTAGAATCGTTATGATATATTTTAATATATTTGCATAAATATGATATAAAAAATATTAAATATTTTTGAAAATTAACTAGTTTAAAATGAGTTGTATTTTATGAAAGTGATTTCACTCATAGCACTTATATGATTATACTTACTGCCTTCTAATTTATTAAAACTATTATAAGCTTAAGTTAATAATTTTGTATATGATAAACCGTTATTTTTATATGATTCAAATACACATAATATTTTGTAGTCAGTGGCCTATCTAAAAACCAAATTCATATAGAATAAAAAAATTGTTTTATTATGTTTATATTTTATACATGCAACAAGTGTTATTATTATAACGTGTGCAATAATTTGTACTCGTGTGTTCTGGTTGAAGAATTATCTCAGATTAATTTCATATTATTTTTAAAAATCTCATATTACTCTATTACTATATTAATTTACTGTTTAAATATAATTTAGCCCTTGTACCGATTATTACAATTATAGCATAGAAAATTGTAATAATCGTCGATAATTAACGATATTATTCATTTGGTTGTTTAGACTCTGAGTTTTAACACTAACACGTAAAATAGTTGATTTTTTATGATCATCTGTCTTTAGATAAAATTGAATATTATTATAGTAGAAAATATTTCAAAACAATAACGAGAGTGGATAAATTACTCACCAGAAACTTTTGATCTCGTCGGGAATATTCCCATTAATACATAGAGTGTTTCATCAGATATTCCATTCTTAAAGCCTATATTGTAAGCAGATTATTAAAAGCAAAAGCATTAGTGCGTTTAAATTACCTTTAAGCAATGCCGAAATCGGTTCAAGACAAATATTAAAATAATTAAACTTTTTCTCACTTATACGCTTGCCGGCTACAATTGGTTCGTTCGGTTGATACGGTTTTCCGTAACCTACGTGATTTCTGGCCGTGATTCTTATGTCGTAGGACGAACCCTTCTTCAGATCTGATATCTTAATGTGCAAGTCTTTTGTGGAACCGATCTAAATAATGTCGAAAAACCATCGTCGATCATATTTTTCCGTTTCTATCTTATTCGAAAATTCAACTTACCTTTCTCCATGCTTTTTTGTCAACTTCTTTGATTTCTACGCAATAGTCTTCGATCGCTATTCCACCGTTGTCAAAAGGCGGCAACCAAGCGATCGTCAGCGAGGTGTCTGTTACACCTGTGATCTGCAGAGGCCCTTGTGGTGCCGATGGCTTATCTGTATTGATTGAATACAATTGAAATGATTAATTTTTTATCAGTGATTATTTATAACGTGTTTGATTATAAATGATAAAATCGTTTACAGAACCAAAGGCATCTAATGATGTTTTAAAATTATTTTGAAATTTAATTTCAGCATGCACTTATACATAATAAAGTTATCGATAAAGGTAATTGTATGTTCCATTTACATTATTATTTCGAGTATTTTACTTTATTTTCTTTTCTTAAGCAAATTTCAAATTTGTGTGTTCTTGTAATTGAATCATTTAAATGTTTTCCGATTAATTACTTAATGATCAATTGTTATGTTATGTACTATAATATTAATTGTATTAATACTATTAACATTGTAAATCGTATACTTTATTCGCTTATTCATAAATTAATTTACTATTATTTAATATCATTAAGTTTTTATTTTTTTGGAAATTTGTCAAAAAATTAATGTAATAGTAAAATATTTGTCAACGAATTAATAAAAAAAAAAATGCTTTAAGACGCGCACGAGTTTTTTTTATTTCTAATATACTTACGGTATCTGCATTTGACGGTCACTGGTTCGCTATCTAAAAATTCCGAAGCCCCCACAGCGTTTTGAGCGCAAACCCTGAACATGTACTCAGAGTCTTCGTGAAGTTTTTGCACGCTATACGCCGACACATCATGGTCGACGTCGGCGACTTTAGACCAGATCATCTTGCCGACGTTACACCTTTCCACCTGATACGACGAGATGTCCAGCCCACCATCATCCAATGGCTTGCTCCACTCGATGGTCACTGAATCCGAGTTGATTTCTTTGATGCGCATCGGGCCTTGCGGAGCACTTGGTTTATCTACAAGATCGGTTATTAACAGTGTTTTAACATGATTTGAATAATATTAAGCATAGGTGTATACAGTTATTGTAATTCTATCAATTTATCTAATCGGGCGAGACCGTTAAAACATTTAGGGATTTTTCACAACCGTGCATTCCATATGGAAACAAAAAAAAAAAAAAATGAAAGAAAAATATATAACGGGATCGTTACGGGATGTGATCTAACAAAATATTACCAGTACAACCGAATTCTTTACCATCCGAAACAGATTCTAAACATAATACGACACGTTTTAATAATATTAAAAAAAAAAATAACAATTTATTTACGTGAATGTTTATTAAAAATAAGTATTTTCTACCGTCCACTCACCAATCACTTTGAGGTTTAGATTGCACGTGGCCGTGCCAGCGTCATTGGACGCGGTCACCGTATACACTCCGGTGTCTGACCTCTCGACACAGTAAACGGCTATCGTCGTGGACCAGTCGTCGTCGTCGTTGTACACGGTCACGTGCTTGTCGGCCGTCGGCAACGGTTGCCCGTCCTTTTGCCACGATACGGTTGGTTTTGGGTAGCCCTTGTAGGTGACCTTGACCTTCCATTGGTTTCGCACCCTGATCATCTGCGATGATTCCGATTCGTGCACTTCTATCTTCGGCACGTCTTGCACACTAAGCTTGCACGATGTCTGCACGGTGCCCGCTCCGTTGGTCGCCTGACACGTGTACGTGCCCGTCGTCGATTCAACGCACTCCGCGATCATCAGTTTGGCCACGTGGTTTTCGAACGTAGCGGTCTTCGTCTTGTACACTGTTTTGTTCTTGAGCCTGTAAACACAACGCTCGCATTAAATTGTAAGACTACCCAAACGAAGAATGACGTTGAACGGTGTTCGAGCAAAGTGCGTCCGCGTAATGTTCGATTTGTTAAGATATTATTACAAAAAACATGCAGATAATTTTACCACCGATAGTCTTGTAAACGATACTTTTTAAAAGTATTCAAATAACAATATAGTTATATGTTTTCAAAAGTATTTAAAATACGTGTTCGAATATTTGATAAGAAATGTATTCATGTAAAAATACAGATACTTCAAAAAAGTATTCATAGATACTTTCAAATACTTCAAATATTTTATAACGTTGTTTAACTTATGGTAATGTATTAACTGACGTAATCATCAAAAAAAATGTAAAAGAATTTTAAAAACGTTTTAAATGTTTTAAATGGCTGCAACAAGTAAAAAACATTTCAGAGAACCCATAAGCCATAAATTAGAATTAAAAATGTAATTGGAAAGTAAAAATAAAACGAATTTCCAATTTTGTTACGAAATTGTTAATTTATATGAGTATATTATAATCATAATAGTGTATTATGTTGTAGACTATTTATAGGGAAAAGGTTATGTTATTTATAATGACATTGACTGGAATAGATTTTTAAGACAAATTTTTAAAATATGCCACGTACAAATATTAATTATGTTTAAACAACACGGATAATTGGTTGTTAAATTTTATTATTATAATATAATTAAATAATCGGTAAATTAAAAAATTTCTTTAATATGATAAAATTTAAATAGAATTTGTAAAAAAAGTAATTGAAAACAGTGTTTGATTTCAAATGCAAATACTCTGGGAAAGTATTTAAAATACTATGCCCAAGTTTATTTTTCATAACTATTTAATATAGAAATAAAATAACTAGAAAATATTTATGAAACTTTTCCTAGGAATACTGTAAAAATAATTATTGGAGATTTCAATGCACAAATTGGTCGAGAACCTGTGTACAAACTAACTATTGGACGAGAAAGTTTTTACGAAATATCCAACGACAATGGAGTACGAATCATAAACTTTGCTACATTAAAGAATCTTATTATAAGCAGTACGTACTTCCCAAGAAAGGATATACATAAACATACGTGGACATCACCAAATGCAAGAACTAAAAGCCAAATTGACCATGTCATGATAAAAAAAAAAATATATATATAAATCCTGTGTAAACAATGTACGAAGCTACAGAGGAGCAGATGGGGATACTGATCACTACCTGGTAGTTATGAATTTCCGCACAAAATTATCAGTGAACAGGAGATTAAAACAGGAAAATAAAATAACTAAAACAGTACGCCTCAATAGCAATGTATGTATGTGAAACTTGGTCCACTACGCAAGGCGATGAAGAAAAACTACTAGCATTTGAGAGGAAAGTTTTGCGGAAGATTTATGGGTCCAAACGAAATTTAAATAGAGAATATGAATGAAGGAAAAACGCGAACATAGAAAAGATGTACAACAAATCAATATTGGAAAATATCTCAAGGCAAAACGTCTGGAGTGAGCTGGCTACGTTTGGCGAGCTGACGGAAGCCTTATTCGTAATGTTTTTAACTAAGAAAATCAACAAAAAACAACCAAGAGGGAGACCCCGACAATGATAAATAGATAGAGTAATTAAAAACATTAAAGAAATAGATGAGAGTATAACGGAAATGGTAAAAGATCGTGAAAGATGGAAAGACTTGGTAGAAATGTGCAAAAGGACTAAAAGGTCTGTTGAGCCCAAAAAAAAAAAAAAAAAAATTAAAATACGGCTTTGAGCACATGAAAGTATTTGAATACTTTTATTCAAATACTTTTACTCAAGTACTTTACAAGACTGGTCACCGAGCGTGCACAATGTTTTACCATTTTATTTCCGGTGTTGGTTTCCCAGTTATCACACACTGGAGTACTGCCGATTTTCTTAGCCCAACAGATAAGTCTGATAAAGGTTCTTGAATGACGGGCGGAGAGAATGATCCGGCACTAACTATCTTTACGTATTTCGTGTTGTGTGATGTAGGCCCAACTCCGGCACAGTTAACAGCTGCCACTTTGAACATTATTTCATGCCCCGTTGGTAAGTTTACAACTTCGTGTGTGGTATCTGTAACTTGAACTTTATGCCATCTGACACAAAACAAAATAGGAGAAAATGTAAGTTAATATTTTGGGAATACTTATCTATATACATATATATATATATATATATATA